AGACTCTGCTTCACTGGGACCCAATATCCTATACTTTATGAAAAGATTTAGAGTACATTTTTTATTAACATGTTTTTATTTCGAAACAATTTCGAGCTTTCAATAGGTGTGATTTATTGTGAAAAATATGATTTATTGTGAAATATCTGCTGTTTTCAAGCACCTTTTTATAATCGTATCACATTGTATATATAAAGCATATTGAAAATAAGTGAATTATATTTAATTTTAATATAAGATTTTTTAAATAAAATAAAGGCTGCTTCAAAATTATCTATTAATATGTTTTTATAATATAATATTATATATTCGATGGCATCTAAATGCAAGTAAGAAGTTAAGGACTCTGTTTATAGGCTAAAGAGGACTTTGTGTAATTTTGAAGTAAATAAATATATGGTACAGTGAACTAATGATTAAAAACCCCAACTGAACATTATAGGACACCTATTTCATTTCATTATCAACTTGATCTGCATAAATTCAAAAAAATGTCTCTTTGCAAAATTCTATTCGATAGGTTAACCTGCTCAGATAGTAGAGAGTCCATTAAATATCCCTAAATATGTATCAGGAGTATGATGAGTGCTCTTTGCACATCTGTAAGCTATAATTAGATGTATTGAATGTAATGGTGTGAAAGGCATTAAAATAAATTTATAGCGAAATTGTTTAAGTCAAAACCATTGAAACACCATCGAGGTAAAATTAACTTTAACAAGAGAAACCCAAATAAAAAACTTTTAAAATAAATGCAATGGTAAAATCTTAATGTATAAATACACTATTTAAATATTTTTAAAAAATAGTCTATTAAATATTGCGTAATTACAAAGTACATATAAAAATAAAATACGAGGTAACACTTCTTGTTATTCTTCTATTACAATATTTAAAAATGCAGTCACCACATGTTGTTCATTAAAACTGTAAACTCAGATCCTCTCCAATTATATTGCATTTTTATTGCCAACCCATAAAATTAAGTGATTGTATAATTCTTACCATTTTTCTGAGTTGCTATGGCCAGACCAACCACACCATCAAAATTTGACCAATTCATGCTGCACTAGCTCTACCCGCACCTAACTTGATTGTTCCGTTAAAAATGTTTTCATAAATATTTGAAGATACAATTTTAAATGATCTCGTCAAATGAAAATTGAATTTTATTATCAATGAAATATGTTACTCAGCGATAAATTGGTCTATTTGAGAAAATAAAAATTAATAAGTCTTCATGAAAAAAACAAATATCAAATAAACAAATATAAAAAAAAAAAAAACAAATATAACAAAGCATCCACACAAATAAAATTATTTATATCAGGTATTTGCAACTTCAAAATTCAATTAATTTCTGAGTGAGTGAATAAAATTTTAGATACTAATACTCTCAATACAAAGTTTAGTTACTACTTCTTTAGTTAATGATAAAATATAAAATTAAGATTTGACAGATGAAGCCCTGATCAAGTTCAAGGTGAGATTGAGCTATGACTTGAATACAATATGAGTTTTATTCCCAGGCGCTCTGGTGAACTTGACTTAAACAGAGAACGATATGAAGCTGCAAATAATAACTTTGAATCATGCAAGTTCAAATAAACGAATGAGTGAAACAGTTCGAGGCTCGAACTCATTTCTTTGACTAGTATCAAGCACTGCATAGTAGTATTGTATTAAGTAATGTGCATTGCTAGAAATGTTTACCGCATGAAAAGTTTCTTGTTGGTTAATATAAGCAGTAATCGTTTTGTTTTATAATATTTAAATATAATACACATTTTTTGCAGTTAATATCTGAAGTAGTTTTTATCAATAGTATCTGTGATTTCTTGAGAGATCCACTATAAGGACTGGATATGATAATGTGTGCTTTAGATAATTTTATTGAAGCTTAAAGACTAGCATATAGTCTATTTTTTTCATTTTTTCGTAACAAAATCAAATTTTGAATTAGTTTGGTCATCCAAATTAGTTTGAGCTCACTATCTTTGATCTTTGATGATTAAAGCTTTTGCATGCTTTTAATTTTTAAGTCCATGTGTATATCGTCATTCTTGATGTACCATGCCATTTTTAGCATATATACGTCTTCATGCAACAATCTGGTATATTTTAAATTATGTGATGAAGAAACGACATTGCGATAAGACCCAAAAGTATAAAGCAATTTGGGTCTAATATCTTGCTTATACGAATCAGTTACTTTATAAATAGTCTTGATGGATAGAGTAATTTGATACACAGTATTGACCTTTGACAGCGGTTTTACATTATTTATATTGTTGCACTTGCAGTTGTACTGGAAATAATAGCTGTGCCCTTAAGATAAATTTTGCATGAATACAGAGATTTAAGGAAGAATTTTTTTAAATGAATAATGGTCGCACCTTTTAATTAAATTTCGCATAAGCACAAAGGTTTTAAAAAGACAGTTTTTTCTCAATTTACAATTGCTTTTCATTTATATGAATTTTTTTGCTAAGTCGGCCGTCATTGCATTCGACTTATACAGACAGAGATACGCCTAATTATATGTACCTAATTATACTAAATAGGTAATATATAAATATATGCATATATATAACATATAGTATATAATGTTATATATAAATATATATATAGTGGTGTTTTCAATCAATTTACATAGATATACGTAAATAATGTATATACATTGAAATGTTTGTAATAATCTAATTAAATGCATTGAAATTGAAGAGACGTGAATATTATTTAAACCTCTGTAAGTTCAATATTATTGAAAATAAAAGCTTTCTTATGACTAGAGCAGAAATAATAAGTAAAATAATAAGCCTAGAAGTAAGCCGTCGATAAAGTAAAACTGAATGGCTTTGTAAAATGTGAAGCCTATTTTTGGTATAATTTTTAAGTCTAGGTTAAATTGTAAATACCATCTTGTTTCTATCTTGGAAGCATTGCCTTCTTTTAGTTACTTTAGAAATCATATGTCACAAAAAAATATTTATTATTATATAATTTAAAATAATCGTACAGTATATAATTCTTAAACTTTGTGGTGTCGACTTTAAACAAAAATATTATAGTAATCAATGATCAGAAAAAAGGTTGGGAACCATGTGTCTCATAGTTCGAAAATAAATCGTTGATTCTGGAAGGAATTTTACTTTTTTAATTTTTCAATGTATTTGGTTCATAAACATTTTAGATTCATCTTATACTATAAAAGTATGTTTTAGTGGTTAAGATTTGAATCCAAATTAAGTTAATGAAATACAATAGTATATAATAAATTAAATATAATTAAAAATTTTATATATTCAATATATTTCAATATATTTGCTTCATAAACATTTTAGATTCATCTTATTCTATAAAAGTATGTTTTAGTGGTTAAGATTTGAATCCAAATTAAGCTAACGAAATATAATAATATATAATAAATTAAATATAATTAAAAATATTATATATATTATATGTTATAAATGTTATGTTGAAGCTCTTTGAGCTAGTGCTCTTAAGCACTTTTACTCTTTCTTAACTCGAGGTTTTTTCATAACCCCTCTTTACGTCTTGACTGGATTATTGTTTATCACTTCATCAGACTAAGCAATAATTGACCTCAGATCTGCATATCTCCCCAAGGAACCTGTAACCATTCTGAGTTTTGATAACGCGGTGTTGGTAAGTTTGTCAGTTTTCGCAATTAATTTCAGGGCTCTATCCTTTATATATTTTTTGATGGGATCAATCTTGAGGTCCCTGAGGATGTCATTCGTCCTAATATACCATGGTAGTTTGAAAAGTCTTCTCAGAGCCTAACTTTATGCAATTTCTAGCTGGCGAATAGTAGTGTTTGAAGCTTTGCTAAAGCTACATAACCATATAGAAGTAACTTCCAGTTTTTAGCATTATTTTATAAATATTATCATCTAAGTGAGATCTTAGTGTTAATTTTAAATTCTTTGTGAATGCTAGCTATGCTTCGACGAAGCCAAATCTAACATTCTTTAATTGTTTTTATAAACATATGTTTCAAAAATTTTTAAAATTCGAAATTCAATTATTTTTATAAAAATAACTTTAAAATATGAAATTGTTCAGTTTAAAAGGTCAACAATAAATTTTTCAGGTCAGGTTTTTCAATATGCGCTCGTATAGTAAATCTCATTAATCATATTTAAATTAACATCAGTTAAATGATATATGAATTTATACTTACCTAATATAATTAAATAATTAAGACTAAAATAGTAATAATAATATGTATACAAATTAGTTTATTTAATAATTTTTAATTTTGTTTTCAAGAAAAATTCTTTCCGACGCAATCTTAAACCGAATTGAAATCAGTTAATCAAAATTGAGTGATTACTTTCCACTGTCAACTGATTTGGAACTTTCTTGTCACATTTGAGGTGTGAACACATGAAGTCAACCTCGGTGTAAGTGTAGCAAAATATTAAATTATTTGCTGAACAAGGTGCTACCGCTTATTTTTGCTTATTATTTCTATTCCAACACCGCAGATGGCAACTGCGAAACAATGCCTCCAGCTAAGCCACAAGATACTCAATTCAATCAAGCTTATATAGCGCTTTCTTTGCAGAAAGACATCAATCATAATTTTGTTAAGTCTTTACTATTTTCTTAATAAATTTTATAAAATTTATTTGATATCTGCGGTCTACTAATTTTGTGGTTTCCATTCAGTTTTGTTTACTTTATAGATTTTTCAATAGTAGATACATGTTTAACTCATTTATATTAAATTTATTTAAGCTTCTTTCTTAACCAATAAGTACTTAATTAAATGAATTAAATTTAAATAGTGTTCTTTATTTGTACTTATTTTTATTTAGAAATTAATAAAGTAAATTACAATAAAATAAATTACAATTACCTAATGAAATATCATTTTTATATACAAAAGCGTTTTACACATAACTTAATTTATACATTAAATAAATAAATAAAGCTTGACTCTTCTTGCGCTCCCTCTTCCCCTCATCTACTTAATAACTTCGATGATTTGCCGGATATTTTGTCGGTAAATGTAATATCGGACCTGAATTACTGAGTTCATCATGTTCTACTTCATTTTCCACTGCTATTGGTTCATAAGCAGAATAAGGATCGCTTCGTCTTTCCCAGCCCTGATTCGTTTGGGTGCCATATGATGAATAAGCTTGTACTTGTGGTTGTGCTTGTGCTCCATGTATGTGTAAGTGAATTTCTTTGCTTGGATGTTGTACTTCTTGTTCTGGTGTTGTCCAACTCTTACTTACATGTTGATTCCAACCATTGGTGCCATAATTCCATGGCTGTTGTGCAACATATGATGTAGTATGTGGTACCCAATCAGCTTTCAGTGTCAAAAATTTACCAAGAACAATAGCAGCATTCATGAATATTAAAACCTTAAGCAGGAAGATGGTCTTCATTGATAACATAACTAAGAATGCAACCATTGCCGTTAGTATACCAAATTTAAAAATGATCGGTATCAGAGCCATTTGTAAACGACGAATTTTACCAAATGTACGTCCTTCTGAAAATACGATTATAGCAATAAAAAAATTAATAAGATAAAATAAAAGAAAAGTTAATATTTATAATAAAAGTTAGTAATGTTCGTATGTTATGTGCAACTAAGTCTTTATTTATCTGGGAACCATGCTCCGCGCTTTCGAAATCTATTTTACAACATCGACATATATCAATGTTGGAAAATTCCCGCTTATTTAACGGACACCTTAATAGTGTCTGGATCACTTTAATAGTGATCTATAATATAGACAGATAAGATCCCTAATATCCCTCATGAGATCCCTCATAAGACTGCATTATTATACCAGTGGGTCAAAAAATCTTGCCGTTTTCAGAACACTTCATCTTAGTGGGGTTCTTTGGAAGTCTATTGTAAAACGCAGTGTTTTGCGTTTATATTTCTATCAAAAGGAAGAAAGTTTACACGTCTTCGGAAATAAACGCCACGGGAACTTTAATCCGTGACCGACTTCAAGTGACGGATGAGCTAATGAGCACAATAATTTTAAGTATTTAGCCACTTACACTTAAATATTGTTCATTCCCTATTCTTGACAATCGAAATAAAAGAAAATAAATTAAAAAAACCACAAAGATTTCAATCGTCTTAGCTTTTGTAGTAGCGTTGATTTGGAGTTAGTTCTTACGGCTACCGTAAAAAGTAGCGCTTTGCATTTGTATGTGAAGAATATAACTTCTTCTACAAGAAGAACGACTTTTAAGAAATTTTGTTTATAATTTATATTTTAGCTTTTTAGATAAGACATAACTTATACACTTAGATAGAAAAGAAAACAACGAGTTACCAAGAAGCATTCTCAAGCTGTGAGTTATATAGCTTCTCATAGCCCCGTTATATTAGCACAAACAAGACGATGCAGTGAATTTACTTAGTAGTCTTAATTTTAATTACGTTATATATTAAAATTATAGTTTTTTAATATCGATTATGTGAGTCTAATGAATTTATTAATAATATTTCTAAATTATTTTACTTTTTCTTTTTATTGTTTTCTTTTCCAATAATTTTTATTATTTAATGCAATTGATCTGCTTTCAGTGCCATGCCATAAACATAAACTAAAAATTGTATAAAAGAAATTGTATCTATTAACTTGAAGATAGATTTAAAATGTTTTCAATTTACTAATCAGAGCTGAACAATATTTTTCTCATAAAAATAATTTTCAATTACGAAAAAGTAAAATTAAAATAAATTTTTGATATTTTTTTAAACAATCTGCACGTAAACAATAAGAGATCCAATATCCGTGATACTAAACACCACTCTTTCGTCTGATATATAAAATTCAATCTTTTTTATAATTATTATTAAAAATATCTTTTTTCTGGTGTTTAAATGCGTTTAGCAAAAAAGAACCGAAAGTGAAACTGCGAATGAAGTGAGTAAAAACAAAACAGTTTTGTGTGTCTAAAAACCAATGCCAGTTGGAAGTCAGTATTTCAGAGTATTTAGCACCTCACATGGTTCGAGCATTTTTCCATTTGATTTTGCAGACTGAATGTGTATCATTGAAAACGAAAGTAAGATAAGATAGAGCTGCGAAAAAATAAAATTAAATTATATAAAGTAAAATAAAGTAAAATAGATATGATAAATCTAAGAGGAATTTAAAGAAATTTTTAGCAACTTTTTAGGTGAAATACTTCAATGTAAATTTGAACAAAGCCTTCAACTTGAAATTGAAATTCAATTACACTTTTTCATGTTTATGTGTCAAATTTAGTTAAGTAGGTTTTCACATTTAACATTTTTAAAATATTTGTAAAGTCAGTGTTACAACTAAACAAAAGGTTAATTGTTTATAAACACACAATACCTAAAATTTCTAAATTTCTGCTTTTTTGAAAAATATAATAGTTTGTAATTAAGGTTCATTAAGTGTGTAATACTGTAACGTATGCATTATTAATCAAATAAAGTATCTATAACTCATTTCCTAACTTACATAATATTATTACTAATGCAACCAAATGCAGTGCAATTGCATAATGCAGAAAGTAAATGAACAATATCTATGCCCTCCGATTTTCTACGCCTACAAATGGAAACTAACAAAAAAGTAACAACAATATTACACTAAGTGCAATATAACAATTGCCTACAAACAATAACAAAAATATGACAACACAGAAAACTCATAAAAAGAAAGGTGCCATTAGTAATGAAAAATGCAGGTTACTGCATAGAAATACCTAATTGTCGCCTTAATCTCAATTACACTTCTTACACGATCATTAACAATGAACTTCAACTATGCATGTAGTTGAAATTCACTGCATGTTTGTTATTTTTGTAACATACCACTTGCCGCTGTTGTGCTGCTGTCATCGCCAAAGAGGCTTTCACTGATATCGTCTCTCAGCCAATTCCAGATGCCACGCACCATACCCCAGACACTCAATGAAGTTGAGTCACTTACTGGCTGCACAGCAGTTTTCTCACCAGATGTTGTTGCAACAGCTTCACTTTCATCGCCATCTTCATCATCGTCATCAGCCTCAGCTTCAGCTTCAGCTTCGTCATCATCTTCATCTACTTCCTCAGATGAAGTAGTAGCTGCATTAGCTATTGTTGCAACTGTTGTTTCATTTTTTGTGGTATTTAAATTAGTCTCAGCTGCTTTGATTGCTGTTGTTTGTTTTGTTAATTTGGCGGCAAGCAACGTATCTGTGTTGCAACAAAAAATCAAAGCAATCAACAAAAGCGCGGCACAATATTGTTTTGTTAGAATCTGTAAAATTGTGAATAAAATAAATAAATATTAAAAATAATTAAGAAATTTTATTTTAAATATTTATTACAAATCAATTTTAAGATAAATAAATTCACTTCATTCCACTTAGTCCAATAAAATATGAATCTATTGCAGTTGAAATGCAACTGGTAGCTTCAAACAGCGCTACTAGTCATCGATTTATTCACGATATTCAAAAGACTTAAGCAACAAACTTACTCACATATTTCTGTGTAATTAAGCAGAAAATATTAAGTGTGCATTTCACATATATATATATATATATATACATTTATTATGTTTATGCTTTAAAAAAATAATGTTTATGGTTTTTTTAGCATTTGATTTATTATATAAATAGTTAATGTTTTCAATAAAATAGTTATAAATGCAATAAAAAGTCATAATAATAGCGCATCTAAAATAATTATCACTTTTATCCATTTAACTCATGTCTTTTTATATGATGTTATAACAGCGCGTACTATGTTGTAATAAGTATTTTTAATATATATAATAATTAGTCAATTTTAATACTTTTAAGTTATTTAATTTTATTTTTATGTTTTTAACGTTTAACCTATTTTAACATTTGTTAACCACCTTTTGTGTATGTGATATTCATACCACAACCTTTGCCAACGTTAAAAACAAGTTTAATTGCTTAATTTGTTAAAAACTTTAAAAAATTTAAATAAAAAGTATATTCATGTGTTTTACAGTTAGTTATTAATATTAGTTTACTTATTAATCTTATTTTATTTAATTTGTTAGACGATTTCAAATGAATGAATGAGTACTTTTATGTTACCGGAAAAAATATTTGCAGCAGACAATTTAAATGATCTACAAGATACTGTTTATTTGATGCATTTGCAGATAACTAATCTTGTAAATATTTATATAAGACATACTTAAGATTATCGTTACTTCACTTTCAAAATATATCTTGTGATCCTAACATGTGATCTTGTCGTTACTTTCAAAATATAACATGTAATCCTAAAACACAAAAATCTAAAGAGAGGTCTTTAACAGTAGTGAATTGCAGCAAAAAAAAAATTATATTATTTTTAAATGTCTCGAGTATTGTCAAATACCCATCATCAGTGGTGTTTTGAAATTATTTCTTATAATTAATTATTCATAAATTATTTTTCGATACTGCAAGCACAAAGGGTTGATCTCGTATCCTGCCAAATTAAAAGCTTAAAAAAATTATTTAGTAATTAAATAAAAGAAATAATTCTAAAAAGCCACTGATGATGGATATTTAGCAATACTTGAAAAAGCTAAATGGTCAACAGAAAATTTAATTCATTAAAAATAATATAATTTTGTTGTTGCAATTCACTACTGTTTGAAACGTCTCTATTAAATACAATAGTTTCTGTTATGTATAATAGTGACTGTCGTCATAAAGGTATTATATTGTAAATTTTAATTTGCATAAATAATTATGCGATAATCCGTGAAACCCAAAGGAACGTAACACTAGTAATGATGACGATATAAATATGGATGGACTAGCAACAGTAAAAGTCGAACTGCGTGACAAATCAAAATTCGAATAAATAATTTTATATAAAAGACACAAAAGATTGTTAAGTATCTTGAATTCGGATAATACCCAAAAATTTCTTACTAAACGCAAGCATTAAAATATCTAAGATACCGAAGATCTTGAGTAAATGAATGGTAAATATTGTCGGAATGTTAGTCAGTAACTCCTGACGAATGTGACATAAAAGCTATAACTCAAAGGGTATAAAGTGCTGGCATATTCACTGAACGCAGATGGTCAAAAAATACACTCAGTGTTGAACAAAGAAGAGCACTTCTGAGAATTGCGTTAGCGAGCCGTACATACTTAAGCGTGTCAGCATTGGTAATTGCAGGAACATTACGAATCAACCTTTTTACAATAGATAGAAGAAAACTATATGGATCAAAATTTACTGAAAACTATATCCACGAAGCGATGAAACAAATAATGGCAAACCAAAATATTCACATGGAAGGAAAGATGGTCTCTTAAAGTACTAGAGATGGGCACCCAAGTTTACAGTAAGTTTAAGACAATTGCTTTAATAAGAAAAAAAGTCTTTGTTTCACATAAATAGAATGACAGTTGATTTTATTTCTGTTGATATAATAGCTTTAGAATATTTTAGTTAACATTAAGATAGGAATTATAACTTCAACTTTAGCATAAATTATAAAAAAGTATTTCAATGAAATTCTAATTCCAAGACATAATATAAGTAAAGTTGGCAAAATTTTACGCTTAACAGTAATATTAAGAACTCAATTGCGTAATCTACAGTTTTTTTAAGAAACGAGTTCCTTTGATAAACCAACTAAACTAACTTAACGTATTATGACCTGATTTAAGCAAGTTTACATTATTGAAAAAAACTTTAACTCCATAGAAACTTGTTTCAAAATATTCTTTTAGTTATAGGTGACGTTGGTCATAAGTTATGGTACTTAATAAGTTATGCCATTGACTTGGCGTTAACATAAAATGTTAACTTGAAATACATTTTAGATATAAATGTTATGATAATGTCTCCACAGAACTACATTTGATGCAATCAAGTCACATTTATTTCTCCATTTTTATTATCACATAAGTTTCATCACATGACTATTGTAGAATTGTTTTTATTTAATAGTATAGACTCATATATAACACAAAAGAAAAATATAAAATATATATATTAAATACTAATATAAATATATATTTTTAAGTACATCCAACTGTGATCGGATAAATAAATTAATGGGCATTTATTGTTTTTTCTTAGTAATAGATCATTTTAAAAATAAAAACAAAACATTTAATTGTATTTGTGAGGAATCCCATAATGTAACTTTTTGCCAAAAGAAACTACTACCAATAGTCATCGTTATCTGCTGGATATTTACGATGACGACTTGATAGCGAAATCAAATTAGTTTGAGTGCTTTGAAATCTTATGATTTTGACATCAAAGCAAAGATCAAGCTGGGAAGCCAAAAAAATGTGAGACAAAGAATCGAAAGTATTAGTGAAGTGAGATGTATATCGAATTCACATAAAAAGCTTCCAAAATCAATACGCGTATCACAAACAGCACACACATACACACATCAAGTGTAAATAATCATTAAGATCTAAAATCTAAGAGTAAAAAAATTGAATGTCATACAAGTTGATGCCGAAAGACACCAATAGGCGATTTTGCATGTCGGAAATGTTATTTGAACACTATAGAAATAATCAAATTGCTGTAAAGTAAATCTATGACAACAAATCTACAACAAATATTATTATCTTGATTTTTAAGAATGAATTATTCTATATATGATAAGCTGCTAAAATCTGATAGTACTATAATAAAAGAGATATACAAATTGCAACTATTTAATTTCATGAAAGCGATAAACAATTTGGTAACGTAAGAAATAAATCATTAACTTTCAGCTGGCATTATAGATGCGTTCTTCTTCCTCTTACATTAACCACGATTAGTGCTTTTTCAACTTAATCAATTCCCTGACGTCCACTTCCTCTACGACAAGAGCAAGCCAAAAAAACCACTAAATATTTATTTACTAATCATTGCCAATATTTTAGTAAAACTCGTATAGCTTGAGATTTATTTGGGTGCCGTACTCGTCGTCGACTTGTAGAGGACCACAAGTCTTTTGAAGTAATCCTCACTCGAATACGCCCAGTGTTGTGTTATGACGCTTTGATAACGTACATAGTTTTTTTTCCTTTTGTTTTCCAGGCTGACATCGCTGTTATGGTGGTATGAAGATAAATAAAATCTTTGACAGTTTTAAAAGTTGATTGCTAGTAACTATGTTATCTCTAAAAACGGAGTTTCACATTTTTATCAGTATCCGACGTTACTTCCGGATCATACGATGTCGATTTTGTGGAAATAAATGAGGAACTGGACACATTTTTGAAATGTTGTATCATTACGGTAATATTCGTTCTATAAATGACCGCTTCCATGATAAAATTGAAAACATCACATGATAAGTAGTCAACTTGTCTAATGCCTAGCACGGTATTCGGAAAGGCTTTAGCCTACTTTGACGGAATCACGGATACTGCTCAATTTCATGCTGCTGTAGCGTATTTATTTTCCATGGATAAAGATCTCATGTATTACTATAGATTGTGGCGTAAACACGATTATAAAATTATACGATTGTATAAAATTGCTTAAAATTATAATAATTTTTTTTCCAGTGTTTGTCGCAGTGTGAATATTTGTTTAATGGTAAAGCGACCAGCTCGATAAGACCGCAATCAGTAATTTGACATTAATTTCAGCTTTTTATACAGTACAACTGATATAATCTTGAACTTGGTAGATTTTAGGCTAAACCGTTGATATATCTTTAATGAGATGTAAATCACCTCTTCAACCCATTAAAATCACCCCGATATCGATGATTAACCCCGTAACAGTAGAGTAGATTGTCAAGCCATTTTTTTCGAAATGGGACATAGGGTAAGCTAAGGTACGGTACATATCAGCATATTGTCGCCTGCCTTGAACATACCAATTATAACTATTATGGTTATGCAGGACAGCACATATAACTACTGAGATCCTTTGTAATACCGTTGAGAGTCTTATTTCACTTTCTAAACCAGCTTCTGTAAGCTATATGATATCTCTTATAAGCTTTAATATCTCAATTGTGATCAGCAGATCAAATAATCATGTATAATATAATAAAAGACGTAAATCGATTAACGGTACTACTTGTAAGATTTAGGAAAAATTTTATTACTTAACATAGGTACATACTTTCAACATAGGTAGAGCTATCTATCATTCCATGCCTTATTGTTTTCTTTTGGTTGGACAAGATGGGTATGTGGTTTTCCATCTATGATAACAGACTGTTAGCTGTAAGAGTACTGGCGTCACTAATGGGTTCATCAGTTAGTTTTAGTAGTTATACGAACGTCAAAACGATACAGCTCTTGTTTTGGTGTCTATCTATTGTAAGTGGTATGTGTCTCTTATCCTAGTTTCTTCACAGTTAGCTTTAACTTTAGCTTAGAAATTACTATAATAATTATATTGTTGATGAAGTAGAACTTTAACAGCATAATTTTCAACTGTTAGTAGCAGTAGTTATAAGATATCTACTAATGTGTTATAGTTGTTATAAGTAACTACTAAATAAAAGTTCTGTTCCAAATTTTATGACACAATTTGCAAATTTGATATTTCAATTGAATTGTTTATTTTTTTTGTCTTCAAATGTAGGTGAATTATGAAAACTTGAATTTATAAAATTGTATTGTATGTTACGCTTAACAGTAAAGCGGTGTGTAATCCGAAACAATAAGATATTTATTTTTTTTAAATATTCATAACAAAATAATAACATAAACAAAAGTAAACAAAGATGACGGACAAAAAAAGATACATGAGATGAAGTCAAGAACTATACAAAAACAGTTAGAAAAAATGTAAGAAATGAGAAATTAGCATATGAAGAAATTTTAATGTATGAAAACAGTAAATGTTTATGTTTATATGTTTACTTCATAATGATTTTATGAGCAGCAAACAATTAAAAATAATTATGAAAAAGAAAAAAACTAGTCTGACAAATAATTACGGCATTTCCGTGAAGAAAGAATGGAGCCGCAGATGCGTAGACTCATTCCATCGCTCCAGAAAAAATTCTTAAGTGAGAGTTTTACGCTTGAGGTGTGCATTTCTGAGATACTTTTTTAAGCAGAAAAAAATTTCTAAATTCTAATTATTTTCATCTTCGGCTGGTTTTGGTTAAATGATGCACGAAAATGAAAAAAATTAAAGACTTTTCACTCACCCAAAGCAACGAGCAGTGAAGTGACTTGGCAATTAAAAGTTGCATTTCAGAGAAGTTGGAGTTCACCTGAACGCACGCCAATCAGAATTTCGCTTTCTGAATTCACAAGCATTCATATCTGCGTATCTATCGGTCACCTTTTGTTTGTTTCTAACATTTCATTTTATGAAAACATAACCTATTTTTAATTTTTTGTAAACATATTTGGGTTTTTTTTTATATTTTGCTTTCTGAAACACACTTTTATGCTAGACCCGTTACAGTGACAAGAGACAAAAAGCTGCGAGTAATTAAATTAAAATTGCTTTATTAGTGGGCAAAACGCCAGAGAAATAAATAAAAAAGAATTCTGAAACCCATAGATTTGGTTTGGGGCATTGAATAGGCTTTTGAAAATTGGTGAAATTAATCACAGTTGACATAGAAAACTAACAATGTCACAAAAAGCCACCAGCTACCAGCCACCAGTTAGCTTGATGAACGGAGTGTTCGGTACATTGAAATGGAAAGCGTTGCAAATTTTTTTTATTATATATAAATTTTTTGTTGTATTATTTGAAAAATAAAATAAAATTCTCACAATTTAATTGGGTTTTCATTTATGATTTAATAATTCTCGCTTCTGGTCATAATTTCTATGGCGAAAATTAAAATTTCTATAATCACATTTCACTTTTATTGTATTTCCGCAATATTGTGTTTTGCCACAACACTTAATTTAAAAATTTGCTTGATTTATTTAAATTTCATTTCTGAATTAATTAAAAATTAAAAATTAAAAATTAAAACTATAAAACGTAACAAATTAAACTTTTGTCCCAAAGGAAATGTTGTAACTTTGCGGTTTTGGCAAAATTTGCATTTTAGTCGCAATAAAAATTATATTTCATGCTAATTTAAATTAATTTATAAGCAAATAATACGAAATTTTTCACCCAGTGAAGCTGAAGTGATTTCGTAAGTTTGTATCTTTAGTCGCTTTTGCAACTTTCTTAAATTCCGAATTCCGAGCTCCTTTAAAATTATAACTCAAAAGTTTATATTCGCAATTTGTTTTTATTTAAGTAAGCCCAGATATTTCGTTAAACATATTTTAGTGTCACTGTTTACTTAATTTTTGGGAGAAAAGATTTTTATGCCTAAATTTTTAACTTTTTTTTCACATTTTTGGTACGAAAGAAATGTGCTAATTCGCTCTGATTCACTAAAATAAACAACCCAACTAATTCGAAAGTTAGTTAAGCAGTTAACCATAATGACTTTATGTTATATTATTAAATTTATTTTAGTTACTATATGGTTATTTTGTCATTTTGAGATAATTAAAGCGACGAATCGTGTAGGAGCTTTAAACACTAAATTAGCTGTTAAATATTTAATAAGGAAATCGTTTAGCTTTATTTATAAAAAATCTAATAACAATGCAAGTAAGTAAAACAGCTTGAAGTAGTACTGAACTCAGATTTATTACTAATTTCTCTGATAGATGAAACCAAATAATAAAAGAATACATGATAAATTGGTATACAGACGGCTCCCTCAACAGTGAGCTGTAGCTGGGATATATGAACCAGGCAAAAAATACTGTGTAGCACTGGAAAGAAATGTAACCATCAACCTTATGCTGATTTCAACTTTGAACATAACTACCGGAACCGCAAAATTGCAATACTGACTGACAGACAGGTAGGCAGCTATAATGGCACTCATATTCTACCAGGTAACTGATTCATCCAAACTGATATAGGAGTGCATTAAACAAGCTAAATATATTCTCATATTCTACCACGTAACATCCAAACTGATACTGGAGTGCATTGACACGCTGAATATACTTGGCTGGAACAATCAGGTGTACTTAATATGAATTCCGAGACATGCTGGTGTCCAAGAGAATGAAATTGCAGACGAACTTGCACGAAGAGGCGCGGCTTAAATAATGATATGCACAGATCTGTCTTTCTGTGGTTTAGACAAAGAAACTCAACCCATTCTTATAAACGGTGCAAAGGAAAAAGAAAGAGAACTTTATTGGGAAAAGCTACCAAGACTATCACAAACTAAAATGTTTTTAGGAACTTACAACGTAAAACGCCTCAAAGATTGCATAGAACAATAAAAAAATAAGCGAAGAATTATTGCAGGATTATTAAACGCTCATTGTAGATTGAATAATCACCTAATGAAGTTAGGAATTCAATCCAACTCAAACTGCACATACTATAAAGAGAAAAGAGAAACTACATACCATGTCCTTGGAAAATGTCCGGTACTGATGCACAAGCGGAAGAAACATCAAGGAGGGTATTTCATGGATCATAAGGATTCAAGACTAGGAAAGGTAGGCTCTATATTGTTTTTCATTAAAGAAATCGGATTTAGAGAAACTCACTAATCCGACTAACGGGTACAATAGATCTATTAAGTCGCAGTGTACTATCCTTTTTTCACAATAATCATAATAATTATAATAATTGAAACGAAATTACTATAACATGTGATGCATCAACGTAGAGCAATCAATTACATACCAAATACTCTACACAATAACTGAAGGTGAATGAAATTTGAACTATTATAATATTTAAATCCATCTAGGAAAAATAATCAATTATATACCATATAATCCATACAATAGCAGAATGTAGATAAAATAGAAGGTAGAGCTTTTGTATTTTGATTAAATGCAAAGTCCCTATTTTCTGCTGGTTTCTTGTGTCATCAGTTTGAAAGTCATATTTTAAATATAGTTGCAGTCTAACTACAACTAAACTGAAGGAACTTGCTATTAGGATGAAGAGGAAAAACAAATAACTGAACATTTCTTACGTTAATACTATGAAAGTTTACCATACTAGGCAATTAGCCTGGTGGATATCCTAAATAAAAATATTTCAAAAATAATCACCTCTATTAACTA